TTCCAGCAATTTGAACTGAGATTGTTTAAAATCCATACAGTAATAGAAAGATAGACTAGTAGACCCGAGGAGCTGAGTGAAGACTACAGAGGATCTGCAGAAATAGATTTCCTAGGTAGGCCTGGGCTGAAGTACATTATTGAAGACATATTATGCAAGGTACTTTTTTTTAAAATCTGAAACTAGTGCAGCTTATTTCAGCTGGTCTGATGGGTTCATCCAGCCATTGCCACCAATGCACATTTTGTGTTTTGTCACCTACGAATTGCGCTAAAGCAAATGTGATAATAATGCTCCTCTTTAATTTCTGTCTTCCTCCTCCTTTGTGGAGGAATTTAAATTCAAGATTAGAGTTCAAAATTGAAGGATGTTTATTTACATTGAGATTGAAAGCAAGCATGAAGATGAGAAGAGTTAGCATTGTAAGTCCAAAGTAAGTTTGTTGTTAGTGAGATTGAGCTCTTCTGTGAACAACTGCTGGGGTTTTTTTGCGTGGTCTTCGAGATCAGTAGAGTTGTGCCAAAGGTTTGTATTTTAGTGGGTGCTTCCAAGGTGGGAATTACGTAAGGATTTAAATTTTTTATTTTTATTTTTTCCAAAGCTGGGAAAGCTGCTTAATCAATTTGTTGCTTTCACATAGTGCCTTTGAAAAAACTTCAGAAATACAGGAAACTTATTTCTGATTATTACAGGTGAGAACTGTTTAAAACGGGAATGGATAGTGAAACAGATTCTGCTTTAGCTTTGTGCATAAGGCTGGTTTTTGGGGAGGTTTTTTTTTTTTCTTCTTGGGCTTTTTGAATAAAGATTGATGCAAGATTTGCATTTAAATAAATTACAGTTTCAGCCAATGTTCTAGGTAGCTTTAATCCTTATTTGTTATTTTTGTCAAAAATGTTAGCTGCTTCAGTTGATTTGTAAAATGTGTTACCATTTTTTGACCATCTGTTTTTTTCTTCAGAAAATTGGTTTTTATCAAATAATCTCAACAGTAAAAGATGGATCTGTGATTTGTAAGATATGCATTAGAAATAAAAACTAGAGAAGAAATAAGAGATAATAGATGATAGAGATGAGGAATGTTGGGCTTTTCTTCTTCTGATTGCTGCTTTTCTGTCATACAGTATTTAACTAAATGTGGGTTTTCTTAAACTACTCTGCTATGACTTAGAAAATATTCTTGTTTCTCTGCTGTCATATTTCCAGCTACGTTCTCATTGTTGGTGCTTCACTTGATACCTTTTAAGTTTAAAATTCGTCTTGCCTGCTCTACAGTAGGAATATTACCTAACCCTGTCTTTTTGGATGAAAAATGCTACCAGTGATGAAGTTCTTTGCTGAGGCAGATTTATAAATTGCTCGTTATCATGTATACTTTAAATGTTACAAATGTTCGTTGGAAAGTTAGATGCTTTAATTGTTCCAGCTTTCTTTTGCCATGTTCTTCTTGGTCATTGTGTTAGTCTCAGCAATAATGGGTACAATTCTCATTCACAGTATATAAAACATTATTTTTTAATTACATCTAGACAAATACCTAATTTGCAAAAATGCTCTTTTTCTATGTGTTAAGCACAAAATACGTAAAATACTTGCAGCTGTACTTTAATCATCCAGAGTAAGTAAATGTCAGGAAGTAATTTCTGTGTAAATCAAGTACCACAGCAAAAGCAACATGGATTATTTAATTATTTTTAAAAGTGAATATGAAATGCATTGAAAACTCTATGCTTAGGAGCCACATGAAGGAGTTTTAAAGGAGGTGCTTTTATTTAGATTCTGTTTCCTAATACCTGCTTTTGAAGCTGGTTGTTTTTCTGTGCTCAACTGTGAAGGCAGTTCTGCAACATGTTAAACAATTATAAATCAATACTGATATGGTCCAAGCTTATCCTTTGCTTTCCCTGCTCCTATATTTCTACTTTCTCCAATGTGTTGGTGCTGATTCTTACCTGATTCCACATTCTAGAGGTAAATGAGCTGATTGGAGCCATGCACTTCTGAGGAGGAGGGAAGGAAATGGAAGTGATTTTTAGACAGCTCAGCACCCTCAGTCACCTCACCGCTTTTAGCTGAACCCCGCAGCCTGTGTCACTTCAAAATAAGTGTCATACTGTAAGGCCAACTTAGCTTAAAATTTAGTTTCAGACATCTATGCTTAAGACAAATGTAATTATACTAACTTATTGGACTAATATGCTTGTATCTTATTTCTTCATTATCTTTAAAGTCAGCAGAGGACAGCGTAAAAAAAAAAAAAAAAAGCTGAAAAACTTTTGGAGGGTGGATACAGCAATAATTTGAGATTAAGAATGGCCTCTCAGAAGCCTTGCCTTCAGGATTTTTCTTGCAAAATTTACTTTAAAAATAAACTTTCTTAAAACTGTGCTATATATTTCCAACAGATTTTTCTCTTATCTTACAATTTAATTTTTATCTATCGGATTCTTAAATATATTTTACACAGAATTGAAGAGAAATTGCAACTGAATTGCAATTGAATTGAAATGGACCTGTAGGTTCTGGCCAAAGGAATTGGGGAAATTTTGTCCTTCTAATATGGAATATATCTCATATTATTTTCAGTTACAGGGACAAAAGTATGGATTTTGACACATATTTACCTTCTATTCATTCTTTGATTGCATTGAATTATTTTAATCAGATCTTACTTTTAAACTTGTAATTTATTTAGAACACTCGCATCTGCAAGGTGGTGGCTTCATATCTAATTACGTGAAAGTTCTACCCTTTTTACTGCCCTACAGCTTCATTGTTCTTCAAAGCTACATAGGTTGTTCTTGTCAGTATACTGCAGTATTACTGAACATTAATTACAACTATCAAACTGAGTTATCAGCATAACAAGATGAATGTTTGCAATTTAAGTAGAATCAAACATTTTATATTCTCCTCCGCTCCATAGCGTAATTTAAAATGAGAACATCCTTGTCCCTTTCTAAGTAACAAAGAGAAAGAAAAGTTAGTATTTGAAAATTCTTTGTCCTCATGTGTTATTGAAAATCTTCTAAAATGACTTTAGACTGAAACTTCTGTAGAAATGTAATTAGAAGATTAGGGCTTAATTTAAATTTTGTATTTCACAAAACACCTACATCTCTGCAACTTAATTCTATTCTAGCAAAGCCTTCAACATTTACATAGTTTATAATTTGCAAATTAAACAGTTTCTCCCATTTTAAGTTTAGAAAAAGCCTGTGGTCTAAACATATTTTATGCTAGTTCATGTAAGCAAAATTCAAAGAGAGTAACATGTTTTAATTGTTCTTGAGTGATGCAGAAGGAAAACAAACAGCTTTCAAAAATTGGTGCTGACTTCAGACCAGTCAAATTCAATAGTTGCTATGTTAATTTTTCTCTTCAGTGGTAAATTCCTTTCTCATCTCTTTGGATGCGAGCTTACTGGATTTCTACCACCTAGGCTACTCAGCATCAGAAATTATTTATCCTTTATACCAGAACTGCCGTGATAATTTCGGAGGGATTTAGTGGTGAGGTAGAATAATTCACAAGGCAGATGGGATGTAGGAAGCCACTGAAGGTGACTGTTCAGCTTTATTGCTTGGAGATATTTGGGGAAGCCTGATATTTTCATCACTCCTCCTCCCCCTTATGACCCTACTTTCCATCTCCTGACTTCCTTATGTAATAAGGGAGGGACCTAGAAAACTTAACTGTACATAGACAGACACACACACTAAAAGGAGGTTCAGCTTGATAAAAATATAGTTTGGCAGGCTGAGAAAGCATCTCTTCTGTTACAGGTAAAGCATGACAGAACATTTAGGCTGTGGTCAGTAGTATAGTGGGGAGTGAATAAGAGATTCGGTGGCTGTGGCAGATGATCTAGTTTTTGCACATTAATGAAGGAGACGTGTCAAACGACTTTACAAAATCCACTTAAAATATTAATACCAAGCTCCTCAGAACTGTATGGGTAAGGGGCGGTTTGGAAAGATGAAATATTTTATTACAGTATGAGTTTTGATTTCCTATCCTGGAAAAGCAGATTCTCTGAAACTTTCCTGGGCTGAGGTATGTGATCTCTCTAGCAAGTCAAGTTTGGTTATAATCAGGGCTTGCAGTGATAGTCATTTATGCAGCAATTCCAGCTGCTGCTTTTTTGCTGCTTACATCCAACAACTTCTCTGTTCTTCCTTCTCAGCCCATACAAGGTAACTTGTGGTGGCTTGGCTCCTAGTAGGCGGGCAGTGTATTTCTGAATATGCTAGGCAGGGCTGCAAGGTCAAAATGTGAACATAGAGATTTCTCCTGGAGTAGGTAATGAGCAGTAAATTGACTTTTCCATTATATCCTCAGTGTGTCAGAATTCTAGATGCAAATATGCATTGCTTGTTTAAACATTAAAAGGTCATTATTCTCCTAAAGGTTTTGGAAATACATGGGTTAAAGGTGCTTGAAAAATATCTTGGAAAACATGTAAATTACTCAGGTTTGCCTAACTCTGTAAGCCTGGGATTTATTTGCCATTGTGTTAGTCAGCTTTCCAGTGTTGTGGGGTTTTTTAAATTTTTTAATATAGGTTAACGTATTACATATGGACTCATGACTCTTAAAGTCTTGCTGACAGCACAGGAGTTTAAAACTAGTTTAGAAAATTACAGAAGTTTGGTAGATTTGTGATGGTAGATTTATATAAAAGGTAATTTTCTTCCAAACTAAACACAAGGATTGTGTAAATTACTAAGCACTTACTTTTCTAAATATATCACAGTATTGTCAGAAAGAAAATTTAAAACTTTCCCCGTGTTTTGGGTCAAGATGAAAATGCATCAACAAAAACAATCTTCAAACAAAAGACCCAAATTAGATGATTAGGTTAAAGATTGAAAAGGTTTAGTTTATCTTACGTAACTTTTCACATTTAAAATAATAAATTATTCACAGCTGATGATCTCTTGCAAGCAGTTTCTGATTTTGCAAATACAAAGCTGACAGTCTTTTTTTCTCTTTGACAGATGGGGACGGACAAAGTGAACATTTATTACCAGTCTGTGAAGATACAGCATGTCAAAAAAGTGCCATTTACTTAACTAAGCTCGGATTGGATCAGGTATTGTGCAAAGACAAAGTAAAATACTCTTCTTAATGAAATAATATGAAACAGGAAAATGATTTTTCAGGAAAGAAAAATGAAACTTCCTCACCTGTAATTATTGCATATAAGAGACTTTTACTTAGTTATTTATTGCCTATCTAAAAAATACTGGTTTGATGGAAAAGGTTGCATACCTAGAATTCTATATAATGGAGATAATTCTACTCAAGAAAACTGTAGATGTTTTTGATGAATCACTTTCTTGATTGCAAACCACAGCATTCTAAGCACTATAACTGTCCTAGCATGAGATGACAAACAAGGTTTGTGTTAAGAGTTGGAAACGGATCTAATTAATGAAAGTAAGCTTCTTCAGTTTAAGTTATGGAGTTATTTTATAGTTTTAAAATATATATGTGCGTATATATATTTTATATATACATATATCAAGTTGAACCAGCCCACACTTCTTAGCCCTTATTTCTGCTGTGTCTTTGATTGTTATTAATTAAGTGAATTTCCAAATGGTATATGAAGACTTGTTTAGGCTATGTATCTTCAGGACTGGGTTTCTGTTAAACTATTTCAGCTTTGTTTGTTCATGACACTGCTTGTTTTGAGAGACATGGTCATAATTCATGTAATAGTTTACTATGCATTAATTTATTTTTAAATGTGTGCTAATTTGTTTTAAGTATTTACAGTGCCCTCCTTTATTACAAAGTTACACCTTACAGTAAATTAACCTAATGTTTGTTTGATGCCTTAATACATGTTTTAACTAAATTCATATTTAACAATGTGAACTTACAGGCCAAGGTGACCTATAAAGTACATGCTTATAGCTGACAGCAAAACCCACTGTAGTTTACTTAGAGAAATTTGTAATGTATGCCATACATGTTTCTAACTGGGTGATGAATTACTGAGTACTCCTTTACTGACAAATTAAAAATAGAATTTTTTATGTACATAGTGCCCTGTCTGATCTGTATTTCAGAATTTATAGGTGAACATACTGTTTGCTTAAGGAACAGTACATACTTTGGTAAGGTGCTTTCTGTTGTGGTCTGCAGCCCAAGTTAGTAGTGTAGATTTTCTCGTTTAAAGAGTCAGAATTTCTAGATAGGCTCTAGCATACTTTCCTACTAGCAAGAAAGTCACTCTGCATTGGAAAGTAAAGCACACAGTTACCAGTCAGTTAAGGAAATATAACCACGATGGAATATACCATCAGTGTAAAAGTAACTCTAAATTTGGTAATCTATCTCTTTCAGCCTTCTAATCTTGGTACCTCTGTTCATAGAAATGCATGTTTTCCGGGCACACTGTGTTTGGTTGTTTGTGGATTGTGGGGTTTGGGTTTTTTCGTTAATTCCCTGTAAACACAGAATAGAGGCAGTGGGTTATATAGTGTTGCTGGATACACAGTGTTACAGCAGAGCTTGATTTACAGGTTATAGCCTTTGTATAAAGCAAGTGGATGCTCAGTTCATGACACTTGCTTTGCTTTCTTGTCAAAGGGGAGAACACAGACTCTTGATAAGCATGTTACGTTGGTTATATTGCTGTAATGGGCTGCCTACATTTCACTGTTAAGTTGTTGGGGCGCTCTTATGTCAAAAGACAACTGCTCTTTAGCTCTAAATTTAGTTCCTTACTCTTGCAGATGTAAAAAGTAAAAAACATTTGAAGTTTTTTCTGCTTGAGTGAATTTGAGACAAATATTCTCAATGAAAGTAATTTCACTGTAGAAAATCAACCACACGCAAATAGCATGAGAGATACAAAGCTGTTACTTGACAGTAGCAGATGGCTGGGCAGTGCGCTAAAGAAAAGTTATCTGTTGTTCGTGGTTCGTTTCTAGAAGGAAGTGATGCTGTAGTTGCAGAGGAAGGTGGGGGTCAGTTTGCGTAATTTCATAATTTTGTTAAAGTAGAGTCTGTCATTATAACCTACTGGGAAGTAACATTGCACGTAGACAGTTTTTCTGTTCTTTCATTTTTTAATTTTTTTTGAGAGGTCAACTATTTAATTACTAATAAATAAGATTTTTAACATACCACTTTTGATACTCATCAGTATATTTAATTTTTAAACTTAATTTAGTAATATCACTTTTCTAGTTTCAATTTTAAAATAATTTCCAAGATAATGACACTTGAGTTAAAAATTAGCAGCCAAATATTGTCATTTTATTTTAAAAAGTGAAGAATCCAGCAGATTTTCATCCTACTAGAAAAAAGTATTAAAAAGTATTCAGGGTTACCTAGAAACTTTAAGGCAATTTTCCCTGCCTATTTCTATAATGACTTTTTAATTAAAAATGACATTATCAAATGGCATGAAATAATGACTTGCTCTCGCTTCACTTTTTTAAAGAACTGTATGTAGAATAATCTTTTCTTGCGCTCTTAGACTTATCTAGAGGTGATGGAGCTTTTTCTTCTAAAGCATTTTATCTTTTCAGTGGAAACTCTCAGTATCTTCATTTATGTGTCTGCAGTTTTTCCCCATGTGTTCCATTTTTCCTTCAGGTAGAAATTTATTCAAACATGTTACTTGCCATACGTATTTGGAAGTGAAATGTTTTAGTTGCATTGAATTTGGTCATTGATGACCAAACTTCTGAACTTTGACTGAATAAGTTAATCTTCATGAGAAATTATAACTGTAAACTTTGTGGCAACAGACTAGGATCAATTCCTTTTGTTTATTTAATCACATTACAATTTGAGGGAAATAATAATGAGCCCTTGCAGTTCAGAATGTGTTTCGACAAGGGAATGGTATCCCTTGTGGAACAGGCAGGTAATTACAGGGAATCTATGGAAAACTGAGAGATTGCAAGTCTATTATTGAAAATGTAGAAGATGCTATATGTCCACTATCTCTGAGTTTTTGCTGTAGGGTTTTGTGGGGTTTTTTAGTTAACAGTGTAGCTAAGAATTCTGGTTTTCTTTTTTTTTAACTTGCTGATCTCAGATCTGAAAGATCACAAATTAGATGACTGTCTTACAAAAAACATTTTGCCTATAGTAACTGGACCTGGTTCTGTCCTTCCTGCTTGTTGGTTGTGACATTTGATGAAACCAGATGAAAAACAGTTAACACAGTTCTGTGATGGTGTATGATGCATTGGGCCGAAATGCATCACAATCGAAGTATGCATCTGTAGAATTTGTGGTTCCAAAAGTTACGCTGTGGAGAGGCATGCAATGGCACATCAGGCTTTGGAGGAGTTCTGGTGAGATTTTGTCTGATGTCTGTCAGTCTACAGCATGTTTCCATGATGTCTTTGGAACAGCTGGATGGCTACTGGAAAGCCAAACAGATCTAGGAGAATTATTTCAAGGATGATCTTTTACCGTAGGTTTTAAGTTATTTAATTATTTAATCTTTATAAGTATTAGAAATATCTCAGATAAATTTTCTTCTTTTGGATGGTGGAGCAAAAGTAAAGGCCAACAAAATACATGAGTGACTCAAGGAGATACAGACCTACTAAAATTTTAAAAGAATGTGAATGTTTCCGTAGCAACAGAAGAATGGTTGTCACATCTGTAGTAGAGTCCCATATGCTGTTTCAGATTGCAGCATGTGTTAGGACACCTTAGACTTCTTTAAATTCACCTGCAATAGCTACAGACTAATCTGCTACCTGATTTAGATCTCTTATCTAGATTCTAAAAAACTAGACTGAATTCTCCCTGAAACTTGTTTTACGCTCCCTGATAGTCTTTATTGTAGAAACTCTAGATATTATGATATTCTTAGAGATGACTAATCTTTCTTTTGATTTTGCCACTTACTCAGTATGATTTTTCATTTGTTTCCTGAGGCAAATGGTATTATTTCAGTCTCTTCATTTGAGAGTTTCTTTGTGGGCTTGATGATTCTTACAACCTTTCTCTGTACAATAGAAAGGTTATAGCTTTATTCCTCTTATAAATCTAGCAGCTCTGAACTAGAACACAACAGTGCATCCTACAGCAAACCACAGGTCTTTGTGGTGTCATTCTCTAGGCCAGAGAGGTGTATCTGACAGCATTGATGATCACAGAATAGAATGGTTTGGGTTGGAAGGGACCTTTAGAGGTCATCTAGTCCAGGTCATCTAGTCCATGATGAGCTGCAGTTGGCCACTGTTAGAAGTTTTTCCTCATTCCTCTGTAACAGTTTAAAGGGGTGAGGGGGAATTGCAGCTGCTGTAATTTTCATAAGTCTCAGATTCTACAAGATCTTCTCATCATTTCTAAGTTGCTCATCTTTCTCAAAGCAGCTATGGGGCTGTGAGCCACATTCCAGCATCAAAAACATGACTTCTACTGCTTTGGTTACTTTTTTCCATGTTGTTAAATCAGTGTTGGGGATTGCTGTCTTCCAGGCTGAACAGCATAAGTTAATGGTCTAATGTATTTAGTAATTTACTTAGCTTATTTTTATGCAGTAGTGGCTACTTAACTGTAAATGGAATTCAGGTGACCTTCATACAGACTGAAAGCCTAATGCATCCTGAAATTACTGGATTTATTTTTTTATGTGCAGCTGAACAACAATGCATGTGTACAGTAGAGGGGGAGCCCCCAGGGAAAAGGATGCCTTGCTGTGGCCAGTTCTTTCAGGCCACTCCTGATACTTATCTTTCTATAAGATGAAATAGCATTTGTCACAGAAAGGAGGAGAAACCCTGGCACTTCCAGAAAAGGTATTGGCCAAGAGTGGGCTACCAATTTCCAAATGCTTTCTTGACTTGCAGCTGGCTCCCTGCCAGCATTAGGTGGTCTGGAAGTGGGTAGCTGGCTGGATGGGGTTTTTGTGCCTCAACTTTCTGGCCATCGTTTAAAGATAGAGATGTGTTAATCCCACAGTTTTGGCTCAAAGACCTGCTAGCAGGCTTTAGAGCAAGAGAACTGCCTTTCTTAATGCATAGAAGAAATGTGGACTCTAAAAGAAATGAGCATTTTTTTAATTAAGCGGTGCGAGTTCAACGTTTTAAATTTTTCTCAAGTACCTGAGATCTTTTTCAAAATGAAAAAGATATTGTTTTCACGGGGCAATAAAGCATACTCCCATCTACTTGTTGAAAAACAAGTATTTGAAGAGTTTGAAAACAAATTTTCAAGCACTTAGACATTTTTCTTATTTTATTCTACAAAATCATTAATTTAAGGAGTAAAAATATCTATATAAGTGTTTTAAGTAATTATATTAGTGGTGCTATGCAATGGAACTTAACAAAATGGGAAGAAGTAAATCTTTGATTTTTCTGAATTCTATGTGTTCATTTAAATTTTCTTTTAGATACTCATTCTATTTTTCCATCTTTTTTTTCATTTGAGCTAGGTAAGAGAAATCATACGGTGAGAAAACTTCAAAAAATAGCTTTGTGTGTCCTCATTATAGCCACCTAGTTCTATTTTAGAGTAAAGGGGGGGAAAAAAATAGTTTTAGTCTTTTTCCTGTTAAGATAGTAACAGCAAACATGAAACTTAAAGTTATTGTCTGGATTATCAAATACAAAAGGAGACTTATATTATTGACAAACATATTTTCGTTTTTTGTCTTCTATACTGAAGTATATGTTCCGAGGCACATGAACAGTTAATTTTGCATTACGTTACACAATACTGCTGTTGAGAATAGAAATATACAGAATGAGTTTCACCAAAAGCATGGATTACTCTGAATTTAAACTGTCAGAGTAAGTTACATATGGTGCTAGAATGTGCTCTGGTTACACATTGAACAAGACTGATGTTTTTGAAATGTTCTGCAACTGCTGTTATAAAAAGTCCCACAACCCATTCAGTGACATGGATGGATCTTACTCTGTAGTGTGTGTGGTAGCAATAGGTGGTGTTTCTGTTTTGCTCACCTATTGTTTTATATCTCTGCATTTCATTGTAGACCTTACGATTCTAAAATTGCTTTCTATGAATCAGTCATTGAGTAGAGTAAAAACAGAATACAGATTCAGATTTGCACCTAAAAATTCATTTTTAATTTTGTTTCTTTAAAATAGTGTTACCATACATAGGAACATTTAGAAAGTATATGATGGATATAATTGGATTTCATTGCAATGACTGCGTGAATGATACCGTGTAAAAACTATTATATTTCATGGTTCTGACTTCAATCCGTGTTTCTTAAAATTACAGCATTTTGCAATAATACTGTTTCATCTGTCTTCTGCATGACAAATAAGTGCTAAGAAATCTAACCCTTTGAAAAATTTCCCTCAGGTTAATAGTCCTTTTCTTATTTTCTGTTTCTTCCCTTAGATTTTCCAAACCTTCAGCAGCTAACAGTAACTAAATAGGCTGTTGTGGTTTAACCCGGCAGGCAGCTAAACACCACACAGCTGTTCACTCACTCACATCAGTGGAATGGGGGACAGAATCAGGGAAATAAAAAGGAAATTCATGGGTTGAGATAAAGGCAGTTTAATAGGACAGAAAAGGAAGGGAAAATAATCATCATCATCATAGCAAAAATAATGATAAAAGAATATACAAAACATATGATGCACAATGCAATTGCTCTCCACCTGCTGACTGATGCCCAGCCCGTCCCCAAGCAGTGATCACTGTCCTCCAGACAATTCCCCCCAGTTTACGTACTGAGCATGATGTCATATGGTATGGAATAGCCCTTGGACCAGTTGGGGTCAGCTGTCCTGGCTGTGCCCCCTCCCAGCTAGCTCCTTGTGCACCTGGCAGAGCATGGGAAGCTGAGTACTCCTTGACTAAGTGTAAGCACTGCTCAGCAATAACTAAACATCAGCGTGGTATCAACATCATTCTTATCCTAAATCCAAACCACAGCACTGTGCTAGCTACTAGGAAGAAAATTAACTCGATCCCAGCAAAAACCAGGACATAGGTGTGCATACGTTGGAGGGAGGTGAGGGTCAAAGTATGTTTAATTTCAACTTTGAGTTTTCATCAAGAGTATTGTAGGTCATTGTTGTAGTAGAAATGTTGTCACTTACACAGGCAGACACTCCTGTCTATATGTATATGCGGTGTCTGGCAGAACTGTGTCAGGCTTCTAAACCATCTGTGATATCCAAAGTTGACCTTGGTGCACTTTTGAAATAATTTTGGGGGCTTCTCGAATATGCGTATGATTGTATGTAATCTCAAGGGACCAGTTCACGGTTCGCATGCAACTGCCATGTGGCAGGAATGTTGTTGATTACTGGATTGTGTCGAGGGAGTCTCTCTACAGCAGGAAATGATGCTGTCAGGGATTAATTCTGGTTCCTGAAATAGCTAAATTAAGGCTTGGATGAGAGACATTTAAGATGCTGTTAAGTGCTTTTGATGTTGGTGATAGTGATCCTTTAAGATGGCACACTTCTGTCCTTTTGAAGGCAGTCAGTTGACATATAAAATGACTTCTGGCTTTAAAAATGGCACTGAATTTTCTGTAGCATTGAAATGTTAACCCTGGTACTTCGGCTTCATACCAACTTGTGAAATTACTTTGATTTTAATTAAGATAAATTCCTGTTTAGCACCTCTGCAGCACTTTGTGGAAAGTAAGTGCAGATACATTCTATTTTTTGTCCTAGAGAAATTATATTTTGCATTTCTTTTGTACTTTCAATTTGATACTGTAATCTTAATTTCTTATCAAACAGTTCAGTATCTGGTGCTGCTGGGGAGATTGGAGGGGAATTGAAGCTCTTGAACTTCTAAATATCCATGAATAATAGAATCATTCAAGCTGAAATGAACCTTAGGAGATCCAGGCTCCTGCTTTAAGGAGAGTTGACACTAAATTCAGACCATGATTTTTAGAGCTTTGACCAGTCAAACGTTGAAAACTCCCAAGGACAAAGATTCTGCAGCTTCTCTGGGCCAATTTCCGAGTTTAATTATCATCATCATAGTAATCTTTCTTTGTTATCTCTGAACAACGCTGGAACCTCCCTTGTGTCTCTTGTTCTTCTGCCAAGTATCTCAGTAGAGAGCCTGGCTCCATCTTCTCTGTTATCTCCTTGCAGGTATGGGAAGGACACTGTTAGGCCCCCCCCTAAATCTCCTGTTCTTGAGGCTGAACAAGCCCTGTGCCCTCAGCCTGTCCTTTGAGTAAATATTCAATGACTGGCCATCTTGGTGACCCTTCTCTAAACGCACTTAATATTCTCAATTCTGTCTGGAACCATGGGGCACCAAACCGGACACAGGATCCAGGTGCAGACTAACAAGCACTGAATAAAGAGACATAATCACTCGCCTCGATCAGCGGGAGCGCAGGCAGCAGTTGCAGTGCAGTATGCTGTTGGCTGTCATAGCTGCCACACTCGGCTTTAACTTGCTGTTTACAAGGACCTATGTATCTTTTTTTAGGAGAAATGCTACACGGCATCCAGCCTGTACCGCTGCAGGGGTTTACACCCCTGTGCAGGACTTCCTTTGCTGATTTGTTACAAGGTCCTTGTTTGCCCATTCTTGTCTTTCTAGGTCCCCCTGAATGGCTATCCTGTCCTGAAGCATATTGATTGTATCCCCCAATTTGCTGTTGTCCACAAATTTAATGAGGGTGCATCCCTCCCCCAGCTTTAATGCTGCCTGTTGTTTGTAATTGCAAGAAAAACAAAGGGACTCGGGATCTCAAACCCTAATGGCTTGGGCTTACCTACTCTTAAGGATTAGTACAGATTCCAGGCAAGCCTGAATTTCAGTGAAGTTGTTCCTGAATATCTTTATACACTGGACACATTGCAAAACATAAGTCCTCTATTATTACAACCTTATCTATTTTTTTTTCTGTTCTGGAATAATTTAGTATATAGAAAAGACTTGAAATTCATTTTTTCATTTGGTGACAGAATTAGGAAATAATCCTTATTTCCTCTTTGGAAATTTGTAAATGGTTAAGAATCCTGATGCAGTGAAGAAATGTCAGTTGTTTTAAATAGAATTAGGTTGTTTAAATAAATAAAATGGATTTCCTTACCTAGCTGTTCTTTTTTTGTTTTATTTTACAGTGGATTCCAGTCTTGCAAGACTTCAGAAATAAAGACACACTCTGGGGCTTTGTATCATATCAAAATGACAAATCTTCAACGGAAATTTCATTTCCAATTACACTTCATATTGGAGATTACAATATGGATGGCTACCCAGATGCTCTTGCTATACTAAAGAACACATCTGGAAGGTAGAGTATATGTAAACCTAGAAATAAAGACTATCAAATACATGTTCAATCATCAGTCATGCAAATTACTAATTTTCATGCATCTCATTCATTTTATCAAGTGAACAAGACTTTTGATCTCTGCTAAATGTTTCCCTTTTTAAAAGGTGTGCATTTACATGGTATATTCAGAATGCATAATTATATAGGCTCTGACTGTAGCTCTCAGTGGGGAATTACACTGGGGCATGGAGTATGAAGTACCATTTTAGGCTCTCTTCCTGGATCACAGGAGCTGATCGTCTCTCCCTTTCCCTTCCCAAATCATCTTCTGTAAAATCCTAACTTCAGCTTTCAATGTTGGCTAGTAACACCAGGCTGCTGTGATTTGGGGAACCTATTCAGTGCTGTCACATGGAGTGAACACTGGTGACTGCTGAAAAATGCAATAGTGTTTTGCCCCTTTTGAGAATGAGGAATTTTAGATACACCTAATAACTTGCCAGTGATTTTATGTCATCCAAATTTAACTGAAATAAATAAAATCCCCCCCTAAAAAAACCCCAAGCTTCTAACCTTTCCTATTAAATTTGTCAGTGTAATTCTTCTCCTCCTCTTCTTTTTTTTTTCTTCATTACAGTACTTTATATTGCTACCATCTGGTGTCAGGTGGGAGAGGGCATGTAGTGATGCTTACGGGGAGACTGTTGTACACTGAGGAGTTAGTGATCCACATAACAGTTGACCTGAGTAGGTGCATGCCTGTGCTGTTCTGCACATATCACTTGGCTGCGGGATAAACTTAGCCAGCTAATTGTAACGGAGAAGCCTGTAGGCAGCTCTCACTTGGCACCTGGTGATGATACCACTGGCATGTCCTTGTCTTTACCTTGAAGTGAAGCGGCGTGTTTTCATGTGAACATCCTTTTGCTTGACAGTAGAAATGATGAATAGACTTGTTTACTTCTAAGAAAAACTTAAAAGAGCTCTGAAGACCATAATGCCAGTGAACCTCACTACAGACAGGATACGTGCAGCATGCTATGCCCTGAGCAGAGGTCTGTCTGGCGCTGCGCAGCTTGGGTTTTCCAGCATCTGGAGAGATGTAAGATTATCTATGCTATCCCCTTGTTCTTCCTCATGTCATCACTTGTAAAAGGTATTTTAATCAGTACTGTATGGAGTCTCAACATTATCTGGGATCTATGACAAATACTCGCACTACTGCATTACAAGGCAAAAGAAGTCTCTCTTACATGTGTATTTATTATTTCCTCTGTATGGTATTTTGGGTGAGCTTGAGTGCAGGTTCATAGTTTGAATTAATACTCGGTAAGCAAAAGAACAGAGGAGCTCACTTTGGTGCTTAAAACAGTATATAGACAGAATTTAGATGCTGAAGTCAAAGAAGTCAATTCAGATCCTCTAGTGGTTGCATAAACATGAGTCACCCGCTGACATTTTTGTGTTAGAGTTCTTCAGATACTGACACATACCTAAAAATGACCCAGTTTGAAGAGTTACGTGCTTGTATTCAGCCTACGTGATGTGATTCAGAGACAAGGCAGTGAGCAGCTGAGCTCTGTGTCTGTACCTCTAAGCCTCAAAATAACTAGTACAGCAGCTGTTTATATTCAGATATGGTAGAAGAGAAGGAGGTGATGTTGTTACTGCCCAGAACTTGCATAGGCAAAGTTAAAGCACTCGAGCCCTGAATGTCAGCTTTTTTACTCCCTAGGCTTGCTCAGTTGGGGAGTTTTCATCTTCTGTTCAGCAGTCATTGAATAAAGACTGTAAACAGTCTAGAGAGCAGACTAGAACCAAAGTCTTTCCTTTTCCATTGAAATATCATGACATCTAAACTATAAAGTTGTTCTTGTCTTTGTTTTTACTTAAGCCCCACAAATCTTGTGTTTTGAGCTGTACTATAGGTATCTTCTGATAGCTAGTACATTCCAGAAGGACTGTGTGAATATGGAGTTCAGTAGTTTATTTGAAGTTATTTCATCTTCTGAGACTCTTAGGAGCCTCTCTCCTTTGGCTGGTGTATAATTATGGCAATGTAATATTATGTAAAAGATTTAAGTCGTTTATAAAGCTACTCCTGTAAAAGCCCAGGGAGTTACCTATGTCTCGTTGCAATGAATTATTGTGATACACTTTTATCTTTATTCTCCTTGCTTCTGAAATTGTTTGTTTATTCAGTTGGGTGCATCTTAAAGTTATTTTGAAACTTGACTTCAAAGTTGAGTGACACAGTAAGGTATAAGGACTGAAGGTACTGGCAGATGATTTGACAGGTTATTAAAAGGGAAGTTCAGAGAGCTGAAGAGGTCTGGCAAAAAAAAAAAAGTAAGTAAACTAAGAATGAAGAAATACATTGCATGTTAACACTGTGTATTTCCAGTATTTATAGAAAAGTAATGGAAACAGACTCGTACTTTGGGGTGGGAATGAAAGTCACATTTTTTGCACCCACTATGAAATGTCACTTTCAGAGTAATATCAATTCATTGTTTCTGAGAGACTTAAGCAAATACTTCCTTTTAAAATGTGTAACTAGGTCATAAAGTGGAGAGAATTAAAACAGTGTGGGAATTAAATTAAAAGCTCTTCTTAAATTAGAGCAAATTAAAATGAAGACCTTATTTAATTGATTTTAAACACTTCTGGATCAAGCTGTTTATTTCTTTCTCTGAAGCCTTTCATGCTACATCTACAGATCTAATTTCAGTGATTGATTACTGTGATTAAATGATAAAAGCATATTTGTAAACTCTTGACCTCAATCTGTGCTATAGTCTAGGAAGCCTAGCTTCTAGTTGCTGTCTAACTTAAATTAAAGGAGGCAGAAAGCATTTTATTCATCTGAAAATATACTGATGCGTGATAGTGGAAGAATATGATTAAAATCAATTATATGCTTTCATCATAATTCTGGAAAGCATTTTCAGATCAGGTCCTTAAAAATACCTACAACACTGAAATAAAGACATGATAGTTATGGAGTAAGTTTGGTTTACTGTCCTTCCAGGTGAGTAAGTCAGGAAAAATGATTAATAGCTTCAAGTGTTTTCAGAACTACCGTTAAGTCCGCACTGTTTCATCTCCTGCCATATCCTTTTGATTTTAAATAAAAGCATGTCATGCTCTGACAGCATGGAGACATTCCTTATTAATAGCAGCAAAAAAATAAAAAAAGAATCTCACTTGTGGTTGCAAGTGTGGTGGGGGGGTTTGAACCCAGAGACTCAATAAATTACACCAGGTGCAGATACTAAATTCACAGTTGATTCTTACATATGTATCTGTCCATTATGAATTCTTTTAACTTTGACTTGAATCAAAACCTGCGCATTAGAATTCCAGTCCACTGATTTTTCTTTAGGCTAGATAAATACATTAATTTTTCTTCCCTCTAGTTATGACTGTATTAGAAATTGTGTATCTACATAGAATAATAATAGGTAAAAGGATTTTATCAGTAAAAGGATTTTACCATTGGTTCATCTCTACATGCTATCTTATCTAAATGTATTCTTTTTTTTTTTTTTTTTTTTTTTTTTTTTGGTTTTAAGTTGACTCTGGTAACATTGGAAGTACTGAATGTGAGTCTATAAACACCTATCTTTCTACCACCTAATTAGACAAAACAAATTTTCCTTAACAACTTGTTCCCAAGTTAGAAGCTAATAATTGCCATCTTGCATTGCAAATATGTAATCTAAGGAAGCATTTTTTTCAACGATGCTTTTATTCAAAGGGAATGTTTTTCACAGGTAAAGCAATGGTAAGGTTGGAAACACAGTAACTCTCTGATGTTGCTGACAAGTAACAGTAAAGACTGAAACTTGGAGATAACAAACAACTGGATATGGACAGTTGAATGAAAAACTTTGAGTATAATACACTTCTAAAAAGTTTTCCAGGTATTCACGCTCAGTTTTAAATTAACATATAGGTATTAATCCTTTATATGGGTCTACTTGAAAGGATTCTATTTGACCAAATTATCTCTTCTTAAATCATTGTTAGTTGTCACTTGTCAGAATTAAGATTGGAGAAAGGATTTACTTTAAATGTAGGATTGATGAGCACCCTGTAATTGAGCAAATCGAAAAAATAGAGGCAAATCCAATTATTCTGAATGTCTGGAGTAAGATATTAGTCATTTAGATGTCCTCTGTATAACTGTAAATGAACTAGCCTAAAATTGACAGAATGAGATCTATGGAATTAAGCAGTAAATATTTCATTCTAATTGCAAAGTAATATGTTAAAATTGTGATAAAAGTCTTTAGTCTTTGGTGTTAACCCTTGCTTACAGTAATTCAGCCTTATTAAATTTAGCTTTGCTGCATAGATGACCTTCAGTCAGAAGGTTCCAAATTGTAGACAACTCTATATACTTTATTGAGCATCATTCATAAGCTCTTTGGAATAAAGTTTTGCAGGTAGTACATAATTTAGGTGTCACTGAGTATACATGGGTGTGAATACCTAAATACTAGAAGCACCACAAGTAGCATGTTAAGGGTGGTATACTAGTCTTAGTTCAGAGCTCTTTTGCTCTGCCTCTTCTCAGTATTTAAGCTGACTTGTTCAATACTGATTGTTACACATTTGTGTAGCACTTCAGGATTGATTTTAAGCTTTTACCATTATAGCTGTGTCTGTGTTTTCTCATAGACTTTCAGGGACATTGTTTTGTCATTTTAAGGATGCTGATGATTTTCATTTTTACAAGGAGATTTTCTGATGGCGTGAATCCTCAAATTTTGGTTGAAAATAATAGGAAGCTCATAGACATATTTTTGGTAATTGTCGTATGTAGCAGAAATAAAACATGAAGGTAGATGCTGTGATTCTAGTGATGCTTGTGTGTTAAAGCCCTAAATAACATAAGGACTCAATTGGCAGCTCACAGGCCAAATTCAGACCTCAGGAATTCTTCCAAGAAAAATTGAACAGCTGAGGAGGCAGCAAACAGCTGGTTTCTCTTCCCTCTGCAAACAGTAAGGCACAGCAACTGTCCCTCTCCCTGCAGCCTTTCAGAAGAATGGCCCACACACTATGGTTTCCTCCTCCCGTGCTGGGATGTATGACGTGGGAGCTCCCATATCAGCAAAGCCCTGGGAGTGGACTGGGACTGAGAAGGATCAAGAAAGATATAACGTGGCTAATGATTACTAAGACATATGCACACACATGTATAGTTTCTGGTTTCCATTAGTGTTCATTATTATGTAATCAGAATCTAAAGTCCTTTGTTAACATTTTATTTCAGTGTTTATTTTTTATCTTGTATTGAGTCAAGTGATTCCCACTTGACTGTGCATATGAAAAAATTAAGTTTGTGCACAAAGACAACTAGTTGTGTGTGCAGCCTTTAGTGGAACTCAGAAGGTAGCTCACCTTGAAAACTAGAGGGAAATTTAAAGCACTAAGGCTGCTTATCTACATAGATCTGAGGAAGGCTGCAAGTACTTTGCTGCTTCCCCCCCACCCCCGTCTGTATTTCTGGGGCAAACATGAAGACTGTTCCTCACCACCAAATGAGCACTTTTTATTTCTTCCTCTATTTAGCAGTTGCTGTGAGTGCATTCATTTGCTCTTTAGAGGTAGTTATTTTGAAATTGTTTCTAGGTGTTGTAGGTAATTCCTACATATTCATGATAAAATCCTTATCTAGTTGTATTATCAAGAAATAGTGGGCTGAAAATACTTGAGGAAAAGGAAAGTCACGTTCGCTCACTTCCAGTCAAAAAAGGAGGAAATACTCACACATAAGTAAATGTATCAGAAATTAACACTTTCAGCAGAAACTACTAGTATTTCAAGAGTGTATTCTATTTGGTTAATGCTGTTGAAGTACTAATGGCAGGATAAACTTCTGACCAGAAATGTGAAGAAAGTTAAGAATAAAGTTGAATCATTTTGGAGATAAAGGCGAGTTTATCAATTAGTTCCTTACTATATATACTATCCATTTTTTAAAAAAGGAAAAAACCAAGATGGCATAGAAGACACCTGAGTTAATTCTCAAGTTAAAGCATTTGTTTAGAAGCTACACGTCTAATAAGTTATTAACTCTTTTTGTCATGCTTTTCAAAGATGCTTTTAGAAGAAATAAGAGGAATCTGATGCTGGTATAAAAGTTAAAATCAATTGAAGACATTTGAAGATAAAATAAATGCCAAGGAATTGCCTTGGAAATTGACAGGGAAGAAGACTCTGCTTTAATTATAAAGCTAATAATGGCTAGCTTGGAAACAGAAAAAAAAAATTGTATGCTTCCAGTGAAGGGATGCATTTCTGTAAATTCCACTTTAAAAAAACCCCAAAACTTAAAAGAAGTTTAATGTTGTAGTTCACATTTAAACCTTGTTTTATCCCATCTTTCTCACCAGTGCAAATAAGTCTGCATTAACTTTAGAATTTCATTGGTTTTGTTTGGTACCCTGCAAGTTCGTTATTTTTTTTATCATAAGCCACTGACTCTTTTTAAAAAAAAAACCAAAACCAAAACCAAAAATCAGATTACAACTCTGTATGACTCTACTAGTGAATCTAAACCTATGTGTGTGTACTTGTATAGTTAACATTCGCTGTAGCTTAACATTTATATGTAACATCTTCGAGTTGTTAATTTTACTAGGCGAGCTTGTATTTGTGTATCAAAAGGGACTGTATGGATACAAATCAGTAGCAGGATGAAATGAAATGTCCTGCTGCCTGTTAAGATAAACATTAGTAGACTTTCAGCTATATTCTGATTAGGGATTCTGCAGACCTCTGCTGCTCTGCCACAAGGGATGCTACATCTATGAATTTATTTTTTCCCTCTACAAGATAGCTTTCCTACAGTGCACTTCTCAGGCTTCTGAATCTCTTTAGGGTTTGGGATTTTTTTTTCCTGTTGTTTGTCTTGTGTTTTTCTTGTTGATACAGAAGGGTGAAGGAAAGTGGCATTTTTCTGCTCAGTGCCACTTTGATTAATATCTTCCTTTTTTCTCACTGTATAGTTGGTGTTATGTTATTGTTTGTCCAGTTTGTGATGTTTTGAAAGTCATTAAATGCACTCTATCAATGAAAGAAAATAAAAAAGATTGTTGTAGTGAATAAACTTCTTGTGTCTATCCATTCACAAGGCTTATAGTTTATACTTGAATAATACTCTGTACATAGAGTGTAATGCAAGCTTGACAATCTTTTGTCTTTTAAATAATTATCTGGTAACTTCTGGTAATTTAAAAAATGTGAATTGAAAGAAAGCATCTTTGTAAAACTTCCTCCAAATTAAGAAAAAAAAGTGTATGTCAAGATGACGCAAAAGAGAAATTGAAACAATTTTATTAGCTCAGGTTGTCACCTTACCTTATAGTTGGTTAATCTCAGATGATACTTATGTAATAGATGAAATGAATGTGAGCACTTAATTTCAAGTTACAATTATGAGTTCTCAGATACAGGTAATAAAATGTCTTAAATACTGCATTATTTCATTTCGGCTGGACATTAATTCAATATATTCATGCTTCTAACAGTGAAACAGTAAAAAGAGGGTTGTTCATATTAAGCTTCAATCAAATGCAGACTTATGGCAGGAAAATAAAATCCTAACTTGTGTATTTTTCACAGAGGCTCAAGAAATGTGATTATAAGGTTTCAAGGAAGTGTTTAAGTATCCCATTTTACTTTGACTCATCTTGCAGAGAACATTTTTCCTATTGCAAGTTCTGAAATATTAAGTTGGCAACAGGCAAGGAAAATTATTTACTTTGGTGTCAGAAATGTTTTTTCTCAGGGTAGATGCTTTGCCCCTCTTTATCTTTCTGAAACTGATTGAGTAGAAATACGAATATTGTGGGATATGATTCTTATGGATAGCAAATTATCTGAAATATACCACAGCAACAAAGAAAAATTAAAACTTTCCTAAGATAAATGCTTGTGTGTGTGCATGTGTGTGACTGCACCCTGGAGGCACTGGATGCCATTAAGGTATAGAAAAACACCTTGTTGTCACCCTCTGAAACAGCACTATGTTCAAGGTCGTAACTAAGAAGTGGTTTTGGGTTTTGCCCTGGGCGCTGACACGCTTAGCTAGCTTTACAGAACACTGTCTGCTCTATCTCCTGGCTCTGCCCCCAGAGAGGAGGAAAATTCATCTGTTCCCATTGCCCAGGCAGTGATGGATTCTAGCAGGCTCCCAGGATACAGACCTGCCAAAGAATCAGACTCCCAGTTGGTAAAGTCTGAAGGTGTTCACCCATTCCAGTGAGCGTGGCAGTGTTACAGTGTCAGAGACAGCGTATAATGCTTTTAGTCACCAGCCTGCACGTATGAACCTTGTCTCCGACTGACCAATGGGCACGTATTAATAAATTCTTTAGAAGGGAGATTTTGCTATACCAGACCTCATACTCTGGTTTGTTTGTTTCTTGTTTCAGTATTGCAGCCTATCTTTCTGGCTGTATTTGTTGTATGTCAGCAAATGTCCAATTTGGTTTGTCTTGTCCTGTTTTTACTGTGCTAGCAGTAGGGTTTTGTGGCTTCTATTTTCCTTTGAAAAAATGGGAAAATAGCAATAGAGATTTGGTTTAATCTTAAATCTGTTTAAAACATCATGCGATCTGTAAGAAAATTTATTAATGGAGCTGAGGTGGGAAGAGGTTGTCATAAAATAATGGAAAAGCACTGCCACTTTTTAAATGGCATTTAAGCTGAAGGACTGTGGGGGGATTAAGAAAATGGCACATAAGTGCACTTGTACTTGTTTCAGAATAAAGTAATAATATTTTCAGTCTTTTTGGACACATTTATTTATTCATTGGTTTGTCAGGCATGACAGAACAGTTGTAGTTCTGTCTGTGAAGTTAACATAAATGCTTATGGATTTTATTCTACTTCAGCAGACTTAAATTATTTAATTACAATATTTTTATAATCTCTCTTATTTAGATTGTTTATAGCAAATAGGTTGTTTTATATATATATATATATATATATGTTTTACAGAAATCAGCAAGCATTTTTACTAGAAAATGTCCCGTGCAATAATGTAAGCTGCAAGAGTGTACGTCGTATGTTTAAAGTTTTTTGGGAGCTCTCTGATCTAAATCAAATCAAGGATGCAGTGGTAGCAACCTTCTTTGACATATATGAAGACGTAAGTTCAACTCTTTACTACAGCAAACGGCATCTCTCTATGTTGCTGTATCTCTGTGCATGCTATTGGCAGGCTGCTTTATAGACACATTGGCTTTACAGCACGTGGCAGGCAGTGCCTTCAGCCTGGGAAATCTGCTCTTGAAATGCTCCCTGGAAGGTGAGCATCTGCTCATCACTGCGTAAAAGTTTGCTGACCCTCCATACGATCCATCTGAGCTGCCCTCTTCGGTGGCAAGAGAGAAGCCATGGACCACATGCATTGTCCTGGTTAGCTGTGGATGGAGCATTCTGTCCTAAATTGCCATAGTAAGATTTGAAAGACATAAAATCAGTAGCGAAGGTGTAAGCTTTGCTGCGCACACTCTGTTTTTCTTCTTTTATCTCTAAGGAATTTGTTTGCTAAATTTAGATGTTATCTAGAGTGAATCACCATTCTAATGGAAACTTTTTTTTTTCCCCTCTAGGGAATCTTGGATATCATTGTACTAAGCAAGGGCTACTCCAACAAGGACTTTGCTATCCATACATTAAAAAATAACTTTGAGGCAGATGCCTATTTTGTTAAAGTTATTGGTAAGATATCACTGCATGATTAAGTCAAAATGGGACCTTGAAAGGAATGTGAATATTTGAGCCTCTGCATATGCTAACATTGTGGTAATGCTCTGTGTATGATAATTCTAGAAAAGAAAAAACACAGCATGGAAAATACCAGGGACTGCAGAAATCTTGTTGCAGAATCTGAACTTGGATAAGTTGGTTTTGTTTCATTTCAAAGGGTTTTTTCTTGGTTTTATTTTAGTGTACTTATTAAAATTCAAAGTAATTCTGCCCACTGTTTTCAATACTTTAGCTGTTTTTAATATCAGAGTTGACCACAATGACCTTTAAGTGTTCATAGTCTCCTGAGTGTGGTTTCTTTTTTGTTGGTTTGGTGGGGGATTTTTTTGGTTGGTTTTTTTTTTTTTTTTACAAGAATGTGTGTCTTACTTCACTCACTAACTAGAGGCAGTCTAAATCTTTCCTTTCACCCTGGACCTTTCCTTCTGCATCCTAGCAAAATTCTAAAGACAGATACTAGGTCTTTAAAAACTCATTTCTCGGCTGACTTCTGAAGGAAAAACAACAATTATCAAATGTCTGAAAATACGATTTGCAGAGAAAGAGCACATAGAACCAAGTTATTTAGCCTAAAAGAGAAATGTAATGAAAATCCATGTCTTCAATCCATAATGATGCATAACAATGAGGGAAGAGTGTTCTCTGTGTGCATGTAGGATGCAACATGAAGTAACAAACTACAAAGAGCAAATAATAATAATTTCCTAAATGATGGCTTGTGAAGTACTAACATAAATTTCTGGAGAAGCTGCAGAGTTACCAACATTAGAGGTTCTGGAAACTAGTTGAAGAAATCATATAGTATATCTAATTGTTTTTCAGGGAAAAGGTTGCAGTAGCTGAACTTATGAGGCCACTTCTCTGAACCTTTTGTACAATACCTTATCTCCTCGCATAACATCATGTCAATATAAAAATGGCATTAGATCTACACAGTTCTATCATTCAACTTAGATTTTTTTTTTTTTTTTAGTGTATGATGCTATTTTTAAACTTTGGAGGAGAATTAGCTCATAAATCACTAATTTCAGGAAAAATATAATTATGCTTGCACATATAAATAGCTATGCCATAGCGAGACAGTAAGGAACCAGAAGAAATTAAAGCAACGTTGACTTGACCATGCTTTGTTTGTCCACAATAACTGCCTTTTTATCTTGCCTATTTTCAGAAACCTTTGCAAGAAACAATAGTCAAGTGCACTTATTTTCATCTGTGCCTTGAGTGGTTGCAATATTTTCTTTCCAACGGGGACTTTGTCTTTTTTGCTTTATCTCTGTCATATCAAGCCTACTTTATTGGAGTTCTTTTCTATATAATCTGGAAATTATGCAGAATCTAGTGCAAAATGGGCTGGTTTCATTTTAGTGACGACTGGCATGGTATATAATTTGCTTATGCTGCGTGATCTATTCTGAGAGCCAGTTTGTTTCCATGTGTGAGTCAGTTTGGTGTTTCCAGCCTAAAAGCACTACATGGCACAAAGCATATCTTACTGTAAAAGCGTAGAATGGCAGTGAACATGGCATGGGTATGTGAATTAATTAGAGCCTTGGTTTAAAAGGCTAGAGTTGAATTATGGTATTTGTCACTGAGAGTAATTAAATTTTCAAATTGGATGCCCTACCATGTTCTTCCAGGCTGCAAAGGTACTGAGCTTTGTCTGTCTTCCTTGATTTTTTGAGAATGAGTGAAAAATGAGGCTGTACGTGAGCTTGTTCCTTTAGCTTACGAAACTAAACAGGAACAACTAGAGGTTCATCTTCAAAAATTGTATTTGCCATCATGTTATTTAAATGCATCTAATCCTTCTGAAGCACACATTCTGCACATCATAAGATCAACAGAACTGCAGCTACTGGCGGGGGCTGATGCATTTACTACTTTCTCCTTAGCTTGAGCTTTATTCTCATCATAATACCCTGTAATAATTTGTCATGTTGATGGAAGCCTTCTTTTAAATAATACTGTATATGGGTAGTATAATTCACAAGAGCATGCAGAAAATCTTCTAGAAGTCTTACACTTCACAAAGTCTTATTAGAATTATAATCGTGTGATATTTTAATGGGGAAGGGAGTAATTTGCAACATGCTTTTTGATTCAATCTGTGTGAATCTATCTTAAAAATTGGAGCAAGTCTTTTTTTAGCACCTTTTTAGGGTGTGGGTATTTTTGCATAGAAGTCCCAGGAAATGGGAATTAATGAGTGGTCTAAAAATATTTTTACTGTGATATGGGGGAGAGTATTTCTAACAAAACACGCTTTGTGCGAATTAGTGTATCAATAACTGCATCACATTCACTTATTTGGCATATGGACAATGAGAACAGTTTTGCTCATTATAACTGATGTCAAATGTACTTGGTCAGATTATTTGTTCCACCAGTGAAATTGAACAGCAAATTGCAGTGTGCCGTTTTGCGTCAAAATGGGACAAGTTGGTTCCACTTCATAGACACCCATGGATAACATATAAAATAAGCTTGTAGCTGAAAAAGTCTGGTTGTAGATACAGTCTTCAAATTTTGCTTTGCCACACCTTCATCTTACCTGTCCAGATATTTTTTTTGGACTGTATAAAAATAGTTTTCTTCCTGTATTAGGAAATGTCACCATTTTTCAATTGCAAGCAAAGAGTGATAACTTGGGAATCATGACAGTTGTTAATATTTGCACGCAAAATACTAGAACTGTTCCTTCACTAGAACAGTGCCGTTTCTGACTCCAGTAAAAGTAGACGGCAAATGTTTTAAAAAAAAACCAAAACTCTCGTGGTTAGGATGACCTGCCCTCAAATCTCGTCCAAATCTTAATTTTTGCTGCCTGCCACACGTGCTTCAGGATACCGTAACTCACATGGAGAAGTTATGTTTTTACTTGGCTTTAATACTGCCTGGTCTGTTATCCTCTTCCCTGCTCACAGCCATTAATGGGCTGCTGCTCAACCTGACTGTTGTATTTTGAAGTCCAGATGTTGCATCAGAATGCTACCTTAGATTTGTGTGTGTGTGTATGTGTTTTGTTTTAAAGGCATTTTAGTACTGATGTTCTAATACTCAGTATGACAGGATGTTCTAGATTATGGAACAGATGGGTTTCATTGTCCCGTCATTTAGTTGATTATAAATAAGTGTTTAACAGCTATTCCTGCAATTTAACTGATTTTTGAATCTAGTAAGTTTTAACCAAGTAATTGAACAACTGTCACAGGCTTTAGATATTAAGTAGCATTATACACATCTGCTTATAATACTTCTGAATTCATAGAATAAATAGGTAATGGGATTTTTGTTTGTTACAACTTTTGCGAATTGCTTTAAATCACTTTCGCTTGTTATAGAAGGAAAAGCCTTTACTTACCTTTTTACCAGTTAAAACAGTAAAGCTGAATCTCTGCCAATCTTTTTAAATGGTTAGAAATGAAGAATAATTAATAAAAAGTACAGTCCACTATTTTAAAAGTGGTTTAATTTGGAAATTTTTTAACTGGCAACTCTTTCATTTTGAAGCTGGTTAACTAATGAGGTATGATAAAACAGTGGCTAGCTGATTAATCTCTGCAAAGTATGCCTCAAACAGATTAGGAATTTTTTTATACATTAACATAAGTCACATAGAAGACACTTCTCTTCTTTGTGTTTTAATGGATACCCCACAATATTACTATACTTTAACAGATTTCAGAGGTAGTGCTTGTAAGATGGCTTGTTAACATAACTACTAAAAGCTCGCTTTTTGTTTGCAGTTCTCAGTGGCCTCTGTTCTAATGACTGTCCTCGGAAAATAACAGTAAGTATAAATACAACTTTGCATTACTATTTATCTTCAAATAAGCTCAGGTCTAATTATACCAAAACCTCCACATGTTAAGACAGTTTTTGACTGGAAGAATGTGTAGTCCCAGTCATGACTGGCTGCATATTTAAGACCTATAGCTTTCACCAGCTGCCTGCTCAAGAGATCAAATCAATTGACTGATTCTGCAGTGTTTGTTACCCAGCATCATGGGGGCTGGGATATACCAGAGACAAGAAAAACTTGTGCAATACAACTGGATGCCCAAACTGTGTAGTATGCCAAGTCTTGTTCTGGGCAGTCAGAAAGGCCAAGCAAAACTCATTATGGGACAGATTCAGCCAAATAGCCACTTCTGAGCTAAAATACAGTAAGTGGGTACAATGAAAGATGGAACGGAAGGAAATGTACTTGGTTCCGATGATTCTGCAGATAGCTACGCATACATATGCTGATTTCTATTTGAATTATTTTAATCTTCTCCAGAGACCCTGCAACTCATCCACCAAACTTTCAATTAGCAAATTGTTTAGCAATGTTCACAGTGAAAGTTGGCCTAAAAGAGGAACTTAGAGGAATCAAAGCTAGCATTAGCACTTCAGCTCTGAAAAAATATGAAATCAAATTTTAATTTGAAAATATAAAAACTTTAAATGGGACCAACTTTTTCTTCAACCCTATTTTAAGACACAAGGTTTAATTTCTGATATAATCAGGGGGGTTGATAGTAGTATTAGCTTAATTACAAAACTAAAGGGAGGATTGAAAAAGCAAATTTTACAACAGATGTTGATTGAAGATTTCATTATCAAGATCATTAAAATACTATTACCTCCAATGTAAGAGAAGTTCTCTGTCAGAAAGTAACAGAGTTATGCAAGACTACAGCTACTTAGTGAAAAAAAAAGAAGAAAAAAAGAGATTTTCACCTTATTTACACATCTTTCATAGATCTGTATTAACATCACCTTTGTGGTCTCCTTATTCTTCATTCTAATCAATTTTTATTTTTCAGGCTTTGATCCCATCTCATCATTATCACTTATTCTTACCATTTAGAACTTACTATTTCTTGAGGCATGATGTGAAATGTGTCATCATCTCTTCTTTTAGTGTTCTTCCTGTAATTCATTTGAAAGATCTTTACTGGATTTGATGCCCTAATATCAGCTTGAATTCAGCATTTAAAAAGGAAAAAAAGAACATTCTTTAAAATATATTCTTACAGTTGACCCCCATCTTCTCCCTTCCCCCGTAGCAGATAATTGTTCCTGCCCCCTTCTTTCTTAGGTGCATTTGTTATGGTTCATCACCCAGTAATCCACAACTCCCTTTGATATTTTTTTAATTTATTTTTTATATAATTTTCTCCCCATACTTTGTACTTTGATGTTTAAGTACATTTTCTCCCTCAAGAGAATTTGCTTAAAATGGTTATTGGTACTCAACCACTTTCATAAATTAAACACTGCTAAATAATGATAACAAAATTTTGAATTTGTATAGTTTTTTTTCAATTCAGAAAGACCATCAAGATAGTGCATTCTCTCAGACAATATCAAATGAGTTCTGATTTTTTAGACCATGCAGTTATTTCTTGGAATGTTTAGGGGTTTTTTATTTTACTTGTAACTTCCAAGGAAACATTAAACCTTTTGCCAGAGGACTGAATAGTATTGCTTTCTTCATGAGAAACTAAATGTTACTTAGCCAACTGATTAGCCTTATTTTGAAAATTAATTTCCACATTATGCTATTACCAAAACAGTTGCAAGGCTTCAAAATTTTCCATATCAAAAGGAAATCATTAATCTAGAAACATTTATCTTTGGTTTACTGTTTTATTACTATAGCTTTGTCTGTTCCTAAAACTTTGCGTGTTTTTTTTTGTTTCCCCGCCTTGTAGCCTTTTGGTGTTAATCAGCCTGGTCCTTACATCATGTACACTACTGTAGATGCAAATGGATATCTGAAAAATGGTTCAGGTAAGAACCTCATAATGAGAATACACATGGCATGGTCTGTCTGTATATACTTCTCAGCAACCTAGAGTTGGAAGGAAGTCTACAGAGTGAAATGGGACTGGGTTTGAATAGTGTCTTCAGTTTACAAGGCTGAAAACCCCTAACTTTCTCTTTTCTCTTTATAGATTGCATATTTGTTACAAACATTGCAACTGCATTCTTTTTCCCTTTCTTCTGTCCCATGCAAATTGGGTTTGAACAGTTGGTTATATCTTGCCCAATCTGAAAAATCGTTGAATACAATATTATCAGTTTGTGAAGTAGCTTAAGCTCGTAATGATTTACTTTTTCTACCCAGTCCTTAGCAATTATGTGTTAAGAAACAACAGTGGCCTTGAAATACCTAAAGAGAATCTTGTAGCCACATGAAAAAGGATCAAATATTCAGTAAATACAGGATGTATTTTTTTGGAGTTGTTCGCTACATTTGGCAGGCTTCTATAAAGTCATGAGTAGCATGAGAAAGATAGAGAGGCAATGGCTGCATCCTTTCATGTAATGAAAGAACTACAAGGTATCAATCAATCATTAGGTGACAGGGTCAAAATAAATTGAAAGAAGCAGTTCTTCATGCAACCTGTAGCTTAACTAGAGGTTTAATCACATGAGATGTTGGAGATGCCACAGTTAACTGAGTCCAAAACCAAAGTAGACAAAAAAAAAAAATCCATTCGGCCATGGTCCAAGCCCAATGTTAGAAGAATATCCTGGGGTTTATGCTGCCTTCCTAGGTATGTACTAGTGGTTCCTAGAAGACACAAGTGACTGTACTAAGTGGTCTATTAGTGTAACTTAGGACTGTTAACCTTATGACCATGATCTCATAATGGACGCACTTCTTGCTTAGGCAAAAAATTCCACGCTCACAAGCCAAAACATGATCAGAATATGCACATCTGCCATTCTGACTCCTTCCCAGTGATGGCAGTCATCTGCATCTGTCATTCAAGTCTTATTTTAAATTAAACTCAGATTAAAAAAAAAAAAGTTTCTCATAGTTCACTGGGAAAACTGTATTCTGTATAACATTAATTTAAATAATAGCAATAATTTAGGGGAGAAAATGCTGATGTGTTGAAGTCTTGAGTCAATGATAATGCTCTCACCTTGAATACTGTGCTCAGGACTGTTAATTCCACCCTGGAAAAAATACAGAGAAAGAAGATGTCCTGAAATATGAACCATATAGCTGCAAAAACATGTCCTGATACTCTGTAGCACTTCTGTATTTGTACATGCTTAAGTATGGGTTTGAAAACTTGAAAGTATTAGCCTACATTTTAATCAAACTAATAATTAATGCTAACATCAAAATGCAGAGTATTTCTTCTAATCGTTGCACAAATTCATTTTAATGAACTAATTGTCCTGCCAGTTGTACACTCCGCTTCATTGCTCTGAAGGTTTTCTTCATAAGCTAAATTTAAAAAGAGTTTACATATTTAGTTAGAAACACTTAAAACCCCATGATGAGTTTAGAGATTTTTATTTACACTACACTCCGTTAGACTGTCTGACCCATGCCCTTAGGCAGCCGGTTCTGGTTGGGTAGCAACTGACATATCTCATTATTGCAAATTACCAAGATGAAGGCTTGCAAGTTTTGTCAGAGCTAATGTCAGAGCTGAGTCACAGTACAGCCTGTCTTGCTAACCATATCAGAAAATACTGGTAAAGGCCTACACAGGATCTTCTTTTCACTCAAGAGCCTGGATTCCTGGGGATGGGAAACTTAATTCAGTACTGCTGTCTTTTTGATTGTTTGTGGTCCCTAATAACTTTTGAATCCACTAGCGTACTTAAGTCAATTCTAACAGGAGCATACATGTCTCAAATAAAACTCTACCAGTTCTGGAAAAATCAGCAATTCATTAGAAGACAAAATTCCACATGAGAAAAATACTTTAGACTTCAATAGTTATTTGGTCTGGTTTTGTCCTCAGGTTGGCCATATGGTCAGCATGCATGCCGTTGCAATTAGCCATAGACTGAAATGTTCTTGCCCAAGCAGTAACGAAGGAGCACAGCAGAAAGCAGCTTAGTGTACTGTGGAGAGTTTATCGGGAAATGGAATATAAGGCTAAAAGACGTTGCAGGTTCCATACAGGAAGTAGGGCTGCTTGCAAAGACATGCAGGATTCATATTCATACAGACATCCTTAGTTTCACAGCTTCTGTGCTGGTTTTGAAGGCATTTTGCCTCAGGACAGGTTTCTAAGAGATTCCTACTGTGTTAACAATATGACTTTAATCCACATTGGAGTGCCTTTTCTTTTCTGTTCTTCTTGGGTTTTGGCCTCTTTTTGTTTCCATGTTGCATATTGGCATTAGAGTTGAGTTTCTGATAGGATACCAGTAGGACATACATTGTTCAATACAAGCAATTTGTTGTACCTGTTCCTTTTTTTAAAAGACATATGAGTACTTGTTTTTCAAAAAAACAAAAGTATAAACTGTTTGGAATGCACTCCATACCTTAGTAAAGAGTGAAAACTCTTCTACTTTCACAAATTTGTATAATAAAGATTGGAGTTCACTAATCTCTCCTTATGCTGTTAACTAAACTACTTGCAGTTGATCACTGCCCCTCTGTACTCTTGAGGGCTGTCTTCTTGGAACATGGACCTATTGATAAGCTTCTTCCTGAGAGCTCCTGTCAGAGTTACTGGAAATTACTGTAATTTCCATATTACAAAATTTTTTTCCAGCCTGCCCCTAAAAGTTTGTTGAGTGCATTCGTCGGGTGAACATGCATCTAAATGAAGAGATCGGTGGTTTTAAAGTAGTGTAATGTACTTAGTCCTTCAGGCTCACTAGGACTCAATGCAGGCCTACCTAAATTTGGTGCACCCGTGTGAATATAAACTAACTTAATGAAACCACAGCTTCACAGTTCCTTTGGCCGTGTAACTTGTGAATAGATACCTACACACAGTATTATTATCGGAGAATCAGGAGTACTGATGAATAAGCCTGTTTGCCTAAGTAACAAAAAGATGGGTTTTGCATAAGAAAAGAAACATATTAGTAATACCACCAAACTGACCCTTTTTTTTTCTTATTAGAAAAGTGCTATAAAATGTCTATAAATCAAAAAAACAACCTTTGCTTAGATCTAATTATACTTATTTAGATACATTGTTCGTGTAGTCAGAGAGGTTTTTAACTTATTTGTAATTAACACAGTCTTCAGACTTAGAAATCTGATGTTTTAACTCATACAATGCATTTAAAAAATCATGTCTAACAGTTAGTAGAATCTAAAAAATCATGTCTAACAGCTAGTAGAATCTATATTACTAGATTCTTAAAATATTTTATATTTCAGATATCATAAATAGTAACTGTAGAGAATTGAAACTTGGCATATCTGAATGATATATTACATTATGCTTTCTAAAATAAATTTGATTTTTATAAATTGACATAATTTTAATCAGAAGATGACAAAATAATGGATTTGTGGGATCTCAAGTGCAGAGTATCTATTAAAAGGTTAATTCACAGCAATATAAACTGGGTCTAAGCCCCACCTTGAGGAAATACAAGTTTAGATGGGTTTGGTTTGTGTATGTTTGACCCTTTGGCACTTACTACTTAAGCAAGCTTATAAAATAACCCAATAGCAGAATAAAGATGTTCTTCCAACTACAGACCTCTGTCATGGAAGAATGCACATAGCTTACAAATTCCTTATCTCTGTGGGAAATAAAGCTAGCTTAAAATTTGGACCTATTTCATGTATAATTTTCTTAATTTTTTTTTTCTGTTTTTCTCTTCCAAGAACATAAATATACATTTTTCTTAAATGTTATCTTTAGTGTTTGGTGAGTTCGTTTTTTTTGTGGTTGGTTGGGGTTTTTTTGGAGGAGGCAGTGCTTTTAGAAATGCAATGTTTTTACAATTTACTCTAAGAAACGGCTATCAAGTATGATTTAATACTGCTGTAGTACCATTCATCTTCACTGCTACCATATTTACAATAATAAAAACCTAACAGAGTCCAATCATGATGAATTTCCCTTTCTGTTTTGGCATTACGAAATAATGGTAATGAATTCAAAGTGCATTTATGACCCCAGCAGTATTGCTACAGGGAATTTTATAATACTGTCTTTGATCAGTTTCTCAACTGTAATATGTTAATAGATTTTTTGAGTCTATATAATTCCTGCAAGAACTTTTCAAAGTCACGTCTTCTGAAGCTATTATATTAAGTTTGTAGCTAAACTTTCTTCTTTACAAGTCCTACTTGTAAAATTGAGTAAATGTTCTAACTAGAATTACTGGCCTACAGGTTATTATCTTGAAAAACAGTCCGTTACATCAGAATCGTATTGTATTTGCCTATCAAGAAATACCTCATGCAACACTTGTATAGGTGTAGTGGTGGGCAATACTAAACCCACATGGCATCTTTTCCACATTAAGCTTTTCAAAGTATGGCACAGATATACTATTTTAAAACTAATTTCCATCAACTTATTTGCATTCCTTATATAATAGCATGAAACATTCTATATCTGAAGCTTTTAATTTTATGAAAGCAATAATGAGATGATCTGATATCTTGTACTCATATTTTTTAAGCAATTACTCTCTTTCCCAAGAAGTAAAATGACTAACAACATAGTTCTTTTTCTAATGAAAACAGTGCTCACCATTCCTTCTCCCCCCCGCCCCGCCCCAAGTCAGCTGATGCTTTTTCTTGTCTTTATTGCTGATCTTAGCAGGGGAACAGTTATTGGCTCGACCACTGAAACTAAATTATCCAGTCACCTTAAGTTATCCTTCCAGCCCTGGGCTAAAGTCAATCATACAGTACTCAAAGAAATGTCCTCCATTCTGCTTCTGATCTTCCTAAGTCTGCAGGTCTTTAGTTCTGAATTATGGTATCTTTCATGTATGCAATATTCATGCAAAGAGTAAAATAAAAAGGCACATATGGCTGTCCTTATCTA